AAATATTTTCACATCTTGTGGTAGTGTAACCTTACCAATATATTCTCCTGATTGCATATACTTGAGCATTTCATTAGTCCGACATGAAACCAACAAGCACTCTTCACATTTTACTAGGCTTCCGTATTCATTATTCTTGTCTTTGAATAATTTAATGGTATTGAATAATCCTTCTGGTTGTACTTTGATTATCATTGGTGACTGCTTGATCGATTTGCCATCAAAACTCACATCAAGTCTACAAACACCTGGACTGTTACATTTTCCTGTCACAACATAATCTCCATTGTCATAATCATATTGTCATTTATTTCATAATCATATTTTTGTATACCTCCCCTCTCAACCATGGTGGGACTAAGGTTGTATATACCCTCCATCCAAAGTCCCTCCCTGGGCCACATATTTAAAATTCCTGGACCCAATACTGAATACACATCAGTAATTATATAAATTTATAGCGTCATTATTTATCACCGCAATTCTCCGTGGATGTTGCGAAATTAAGCATAATCCGTTTGGATATTTGATTCTGTCTGCTGGTTTATCAATTCTTTTGATAAAATTTCCATCACTACTGAAAAGCTGTATTTTTCCATAACTTGCTAAAATGATATTGTGATCCTCATCAACTACTACCTCTTCAAAACTCCAAGCCTCATGCTCATTACCTTTGACAAGCACTTTCATCAACCTTCCTTCATTATCAAATTGTAATAATCCATTGTCACAAGAGTTGCTTTTTCTTTCTAATGCAAGAATATTTCCTTGATTTGTAAGGGTAACATCAATGACTCCTATTTTATTGTTTGGTGACGCTAACTTTCTGATCAGCTGGCCACTATCAATATCAAATATGTACACACATTTATATTTACAATCAGCTGCATACACAGTATTTGATGCTTCATCCACATGGATCCCAGCTGGATCCTTCAATATTTTCTGACCAATCGATTTGATCACCTCACCATTCATCTTAACTATTGTGATGCATCCGTTGCCTTCGTCACTGACTGCTATGTTACCATTCTTCATTTTGCACATTTTAAATATTTTCACATCTTGTGGTAGTGTAACCTTACCAATATATTCTCCTGATTGCATATACTTGAACAATTCATTAGTCCGACATGAAACCAACAAGCACTCTTCACATTTTACTAGGCTTCTACAATCATCATTCTTGTTTTTGAATAATTTAATGGTATTAAATAATCCTTCTGGTTCTACTTTGATTATCATTGGTGACTGCTTGATCGGTTTGCCATCAACACTCACATCAAGTCTACAAACACCTGGACTGTTACATTTTCCTGTCACAACATAATCTACATAGTCATCTTCGTCAACTTGAGAGATGTTTATTTCTCCTGTAGGATGTGTCCATGTTGCCTTCAATTGATTTGCTAATACATTACATCTATCTGCTTTAATTATTTTGGCAAGAATTTCTTGACCTTGTGTCACAGATTCCACTCCCTTTAATGTAAGACCATCTATTGTTGATTGTGTTACATTTCCAATCTCACATTGCTGCAAAGAAGCAATGTGGTGTTTGTTTGCAAAAAATAAAATTTGCCCATTATCATTTGGCTCTGTTTTGGGCATTTCATTGACTCTGTCCTCCAGTGCTTTAATTACTGTTTCACTTGATTGCATCGCTGTTGCTTCATCACTCTTTAATAACTGCTTAAGAAAACTTAATTTTGTATTTACTTCAGATATTATTGTTTTCAATTCATCCATTTGTACATCATTTACTTGCTTTTTCTGTTTGTAGATTATGTCTACATTTTTTTTCATTTCGTCTCCTTTATTCATGATTGTTTTAATCATTTCCTGCACAAGCCTGTCAATATCTTGCAAACTTGTCTTTCTACTTTCATCTAATTTTGTAGATGTTTGAATAACTGCTTCAAGGCCTTCTTCTAACTTATCTTTGCAGCATTGGGCAGATTTTTCTAATGTTGATGAAGTTTCTTTAAATGTTTGGAATGCATCTGATATGCTGATTGTTTTGTGCTTCCCTTCCCACATTTTGTGGTTTATGAATGTGCAATGAATGCAAATTGGAGTTTTACAATCTTGACAGTACAACTCGAAAGGTTTAGAGTGAAGTGAACACAGTGGAGGATTTAACAAAGCAAAGTCTTGTGGTGTCATTGAGCGCACATCCTCCACTGCATGTAGCTTGTGATTTGCCGAAATTGGCAACATTTTATGATAATCTCTGCAAGAAGAGCACAAGTAATGTCTGCAATCCTGGCAATAGTATTCTTCTGCTTTTCCACAAACACATTTTGTGATGTGATCACCAGCAGGTTTATCATATCGTTGATGGGTTTCTAACAAGTTATTCAGAAATGTGTTTGGTGGAATTTTCTGAAGCCCGCCTTCTGGAATGGGAAATGATTTTGTGCAAGTTGGACAAGTCAGCTTACCCTTCTTCTTGACCCAGTCTTCCAGACAGGCCAAACAAAAACTATGCAGGCAGTTGAGAGATTTTGGATTCTGGAGTCTCTTCAAGCATATGGCACACTCTAAGACTTTCTCATCAATATCTTCCAGAAACTGATTCAATTCACTTGTAGCCATCTTGATATAATTCTGTAAATTAGTAATAATTTAAATGGTTAATATAATATTACTGGGGCTTTTGTTGATATATACCGTAGAACTCCTAGTGGTACTCAGCATTTTGGCCCTGTAGAGTATGCCCTCGTAATGTTTGGATAACTGTGGGAGTAGAATTAATAAAGTTAGGACTTTCTAACTAATATCTTCCAAAAACTGATTAACTTGTCGCCATCTTGGTAACCCTGTAAATCATTAATAATTTGAATTAATATAATTTCATTGGGCTCTGTGTGGTCCCTCAGTAGCAGTCCATGCTGCAAGTCCTATTTACAAAGAGAGACTGGCACTTGACAAAAAAAATATTGAATAATAATTGTGATGGTGGTGACATTGGTGATGATAATGGTGGTTAGTGATGATGATGATAATGTCGATGGTGATGATGGGGAAGATAGTGATAGTGATGGTGGCTGCAGCGATAGTGGTTATGGTGATAGTGATAATTGTGGTGGTGATGAT